TCGATGACTTTTAAATACCATTTTTAAATTTTGAAAACCAGCTGGTTCCTTATACATATTCATTTTACCATTATTTAATTATTGTAAATAAAGCTACGAATTTAGGCACACTGATATTATAGACTGCAGTCTTTAATGTTTGTTTTTAACGCTAATTTTTTCATATATTTATTTTTTTTGATTCTCAAAACGCATTTGCCTGCGGGCGCCCATGACCCCCTTTCCATTTTTATTTTTAATATTGAATCATGTTTGATTTTTTCATATTTTTATTTTTTTTGATTCTCAAAACGCATTTGCCTGCGGGCGCCCATGACCCCCTTCCCATTTTTATTTTTAAAATTGAATCCTGTTTGATTTTTTCATATTTTTTTATTTTTGATTCTCAAAACGCATTTTCCAGCGGGCGCCCATGACCCTCTTCCCATTTTTATTTTTAATATTGAATTTTTGATGACTTTTAAATACCATTTTTAAATTTTGAAAACCAGCATTTAATTATTGTAAATAAAACTATGAGTTTATGAATACTGATATTGTAGATTCTATAATTTAATTCTAGTTCAATTATATTTAAAAAATATTTTAAATGTTCATAACCAGTTAGTCTATAATTCATATTCTTTGTTCCCTAATCTAATTATTGTAAACAAAACTATGAGTTTAGGAATACGGATATTGTAGACTGCAGTCTTAAATTTTTTTTTTAATGCACATTTTTTCATATTTTTATTTATTTTGATACTTCAAATTCATATAACCACGCACGCCCATGCCCCCTTACCATTTTCACACAAAAAACCGTGCGGACCGCTTCATGTTTCTTGTTCGTGTTTGCGGCTTTGCTAACTGAAATTTTAGATCGATTGCGTCTTTGCAACTATTTCGACAATCGCCACGGATTGCATTATTATTTATACTACGTCAATATGATAAAACCATAGATATATAGTATACTAGCTGATCCCGTGCACTTTGTTTCCCTTTAAAAATGCCTACTCGATGGTGATAATGAGAATAATATATTATGCCTACCCGCTGTGTATTATTGAAATAATATGTTTTATATTTATTTTGATTGCGGACGCACTTATGAGTGGCAACTCAGCCACCTTTGTAGGCAATATGCATAAATTCAATTGTATTTATGTTTATACCTGATCCGTCTGACGAAGTATTGCAGGCAGCTAATAAACAAAAAAAAATAACCATTTCTACTAAATATATTTATATTTCTCCGTTAACCAATAGCTACCGTATAAATAAACAAATATTTGCTTTGTAAATCTTAAAATCTCTGTTTGGGCAACTCCCCGGGTCGGACCTATCGGATCCAATTGTACAATTGAGTCTAAACCATCCAAGATTGAGTCTTGTTAGATTAGTAAAATAAAATAAACTTCAATTGTACTTGCGCAGTTCTTCTGGTAACGCCAACAACGGAAAATGGAAAATTAAATCGTAATATTCGAATAATCGTGTATCATATAGATAAAACCTAAATTGTATTTCTACTATCGACTATTGCGTTCTATGTAAATAGAATATTACGGCCACAGATAAAATCGAATGGAATAAAATCGATTCGAAAATTATCAATTTACAAAATTTTAACTTTACTTTATACAGTGAAACATAATATTAATACCTAATATTCAATACACGACATATTTCTTCATGTTGATCCATTTTTTTTTTGTGTTGCAGGCTGAGGGCCACATTTTAACGATTAATTATATCATATGGACAATTTTATAAGCTAAAGATTGCTATAGCTTTTTCAATTCGAAAAAAACATTCCGGAACTCAACAAATAAAAAATAAAAAAAATTTTTAAAAAAAAAATTTTTTAAAAAGAAATTTTTTCAACATTTTTTTCGGAAAAACCTTCTCCTAGAAATAACGAACAATTAAAACAAAATTGAGCCAAATTGGCGCAGCCGTTCACAATTGATGAATTGTTATACATTTTTGCCTCCATTTTTATATATTATATAGATTACAAAATGTTATATCAAGGAGGTCCGTGTTTGAGATTTGATCATTAAGATAATGAAATGAGGTATAACAATAACCAAAATAGTTATACAAAAGTAATAAAATAAATGGATACTTCAATCGTGAATATAATATTCTCTCTGGGCTCGGCATTAATATGTTATTATTAAAATATTATTCTATAATAGTGTGCAGTATTTGATAAAAAATTGTGTGATTATATTATACTACTACACTATAGTGTAGTATTATGCTTAATTTGCATATTTTGGAAAAATTTTCGAAGTTTCAACTTCACAAATTTCATCCGATCTAAAAAAGAAAATAGTAATACAGCTTACTCGCAGGTAACTACATAAGATGTATCTATTTGCTATAAACAACTCTCAACTAATTATAATTTTCGTGGTTTGAAAGTGTGCCATCCGCCGTTAAAAAACGACTGCGTTTCAACTGTGCTACGTCGAAAACTATAGCAAGTCCAACAATAATTTTAAAATCATCATTCAGCAATCTCAATGATTTGGAGTTTAGTTTGAAAGAATACAGTGAATTAAAAAAACAAAATGCACAGAACTAAACTGTTTGGGATTTTTAAATGTATCGAGAGTTCTAGGAAGTCATTTATATTTTATTTATTAAAACAGATTTAATTACTGAATATCAAGAGTACTCAGAGGCTGACTTGCAGTGTAGTCTGACAATCGACAATAACAGGTATTGTATATAATTATTTCAAAATAATATATTATTTAATAAATTGTTTTAGTTAATTTTTAGATATATATTATCCGGAGCAATTTCTTATGGACATAATCATTATGTAGCGTATGTACGCCGTGTAAATAGATGGGAAGTGCACAATGATTTGGCAAAAAAAAAGTTAAAAGTCTCCCTAGTTCAACAAAAATAAAACCACATGTAATTTTATATGTGAATGAGTAAAAAAAAAAGAAATATACATTGGTACAAAAGTCAACTATACTAATAAGAGATGTCTTTTTTTTTAATTACACAAAAAGACAATAAAACGATTATATTTTATTTTTATTTTTTTTTTTTTTTTTTATTGAATATATACAATCTGTAAATTAGTTTTACAATAAGAATATGAGCTAAAATAAGTAAGAAGACATGATTTGCTTGATAAAAGAAGTAACCCAGCGGCTACACTTTTCATATTTTATTATTTTTAAATTTATATTAAGCGTTTGTTACAAGATAAATAAAAGTAATAAGAATCAATAATTAATTAAATCAATTTTTTTTTTCAATTTTCCTTTTACCAATAATTATATAATAGTGACATGACTCCAGGATTCGGCACCAAAATGAGAAAAAGTCTGCAAAGGATTGAAACAGTCCGGTGGCGAAAAATGTTTTTGACCTGACGTTTTATAATAAATGACGAGAACCATGAACCAAAATTTCTAACTTTAATAATTTAAAATTAATAAAGTAAATTTAAAATTTGAAGATCTGAAAAACATAATCTATTATTTTATTAGCAAAACAAATTAAAAATTGTTATTAATTAATGTGAGCTCTTATTTGATGGCCATGAACTTATAATATTCAATAACATATGTTATGTTCCTACAAATATAGAGTAATAAAAATTAATAAATAAATTTAAAAACATTTATTATTAATTTATATTTATTGTTATATTACCACATATTAAGACTTTAAGGGTAAGAAACAATTATTTTATATTAAACTTAAATTAAATGGTAGCCGATATATTATGTAAAATACATCTGTAAGTAGTATATTCCAATTATTGTGTATTACATAATATAATTTTAAATTATACTATAAACTATACCTACGTATAAACACCAATGATTGGTATGATTTTTGGACTCGAAATTATAAAAAAGTAAGCGGCTATTTGCAAAATATTAGCAGCATATTTCAATTAGTAGCTCAAAAGGGGATGTAGCGTGAAGTCCCCCCCCCCCCCACTGTCTTATTTTTTTTATTCCTGGCAGGGAATTTATTTGAAAATTCTATGAACTATTTTGCAAATATTTGGAAATTATTTGCAAAATGATAACATAACTTTCAAAAAAATTGGTCATGGTGGGGGATCCAACTTCACGCACATCTGATGATTTATGTACTATATTTCTAAATTTTTAATAGGAAGATTATTATTAAGTACTATTTGTTTATTAGAGTGCTACATATTTTTAGTACAATACAAAAGTTTTATCAACTATACAATGTTGATCTCCCTTATGTGCCATCTATATAAAATTGACTACCACAAACCTCTATCAAAGTTGACAAAGTCAGACCATTTTTCTATTAGTAAAAGTATCCAAGCAAAAAAATAAATCACATGCGTCGTTGTAAAATCAATATATTCATCGCTACGCTCAGATCTAAAATAGCACAGTGGTTATTAATGTAATAATATTTTTTTTTCAAATATTATTTAATAATAACCTTTAATTTCAAGGCCATTGGGATAATGCAATAATATTTATTATACATTGCGAAAAAGCAACATTTTTAAATAGTTAATCAATATATTTAATTTTTGTAAACGACACCTTAATATTGTATACTCATAATATTTTTGTTTTAAATTACTTAAATAGGCCCTGGTAAAACCGAGACCACTGGGTGATATTAGTACAATTAAATTACACATCGATAGCATAGAAGTATAACGATTCACAAATAATAATAAAAAGACTACTTAAATACTAGACGATAAGGTGGGTTGGAGTTATATCTTGTTTAGTAGATTTGCGGCGATGATGAATTCGATTGAGGAGGAAATAGGTAGAGTATATATAACCTTATTTAGTCAGCTGGGTATTACAACAAAAATGATTTATCACCATAGTTATTATGTCATCAAAAAATTAAAAGTTATTTAATCAATAGTGTCTGATTATGTATTATTATAAAACATACAAATAAAAATAAAATTAGGAAAATAATAAATAATTTTTTGACCGAGTGCAGTCAACAAATACGTTTTAATAATGTTTTTATTTACTATAGATTTTCTTAAAAATGGTGTAATCTTAACTCCACTCTTTTTTATCATTTACATAGTGGTAAAACGAAGATTAAAGATTGCATCAGAAATTGTGATAAATCCCAAACTAGAGGATACCTGCATACCTGAAGTAATATACTTTGAAAGTATGTCTATTGAGGATAAGCTAAAAAAACTAGTCAACGAACTTCGTAAAATTGAAAGATGTATAACAACGCCTGAAAAAATGTTGAACGTTTCATATAAATGTTTGAACGAGATCCAACTACTAAAAATCAGAATCTGTAAAACGTATCAGATTGAACAGGTCGAACTTAATAACGCGATATCGTGGCTAGAAAAATCTACGACCAGTCGTGGTAAGTATAAGCCGGTAGCTCGCGACGACGAAAAAATCGAGAGTCACGATATAAATACCATGGAGAGAGTAATCAAACGATTAATTACGAAAAAAACGTCGGACGACGTATTGAGAGCCTCCACGGAAAATTCGGAGGACATCGTGGAAAACGTTGCAGAAGTCGACGACAGTAAAATGGATGAAACCGACGGCGAGAGCGATAACGTTACGTCTCGGATCCCCGCGGAAGCAATCGAAACGGAAACGATCAAAATTCCGGGAGTAAATTTAGAGAAAATATTAGAGGTTAGGCAGACGTTCGATCGGTTATTGCCTGTCGCGCAAACGTGGTCCCTGAAACTGTTTGACGACATGTTGGAGACGGTCAAAATGGTGTACGTGACGTTTATGGTCATTCGTCGTTCGATATTCAGCCAAGACAGTTGGAAAAACACAATAAACCCAGCCTTATCCAAACTGTCGAAGAAATTGATTTTAATCCAGACCAGAGTCGACGACAACGACGGCGTAACGTCCATAGATTTATCGTTGTTTCCGACCGTTCTGAGTTCATCCTCGCCACCAGTGAGCGAAGGCCCGACGGGATATTTTGCCAGGTTCACTGCGGCTGTAAAACAGATGGCAGTGCGATTGCTTGGCATTCGAGCTTAAGTAAGTGGATCATGATTATTTTTATACTTTATTTAATTTACCCATTTAATAAAAATAAAACCAACAATCATTTAGTATACCTACTATAGGTAAGTTGAATATAACTAAAATAAAATAATTATTTTTGTATTCTTAAATAATTCAATTTGATTTTGGATATTTTATTAAATTCCCATAGTGTTTTAAGTCATTATTATTATTTTTTTTTTGTTACAAAACTGGTGGAAAAAGTCCACGAACTAGTAGT